ACTATTTTTCATTATTCTGTTATATGTCTGCTTCTTTCTTTTATTATGAAATTTTCTGACTGTGATCCAAACTCGTGAGGAGTTCATTTTTCTTGTTGATAATGATGATATAGGTTTTTTGAACCTCGCTATTCTATCATTGCGCATGGAATTGTTTAGTAGAATTTTATTCTGGTAATATTCGTCGCTTCATCCGAGTGTTCTTTTTTCCACTTTCGGTACCATTTGTGTTTGTTTTCTATTAATAATTTAGTTGTTCGGGTTGGTTCAATTATTTTTAGATTAGCTGGCGAAGGTGGAATAGCGGCTTTCGAGGCCGTGACGGTGCAGTCTGTTATGAATTCAATATCGTTCGATGTATTCACTGGCTGAGTGCTGTTCCACTTAGATAGCATAGCACTAACAATAGATCTGCCAATTTGCTGCTTTGGAATTGTAAGAAGGCCTCAGCGATTTTGTTTTACGATCTACATACAGTTAATTCGAATGTAAGCGGTTTATGACCGCTGCGTATACCTGGAGAAGGATGCGCTTTCACTTTTGTTATAAAGTAAATTGTAGGCTGACTTGCTATAATTTGGTTCAATTTTCCTTCGTATGTATTTCTTTCGTAGGTGATTACTGGATCATCAATGCAGAAAAAAAACTCTCTTGTCTAAGAGAGCTTGAAGTTTTCTACCTCTAGAGTTAGTTTTTCTCGATCCTACTGATATTAAGCCAGCATTTAAATCTCTAACTAGTAAACAATCTTGATTTATACCCATGTGTTCTTCAAATAGTTCTAGGCTAAGTTTAGTTTCTGATGGGACATATAATGAAGCAATTAATAAATGTTCTCCATTTTTCAATTCGATTTGAACTGCTACAATCTCGTTTTTATTTACTGTTTTGTTCATAACTTTGTAACAATGAATGTTTTCCCGAACCCCTCATGGGACTCCACCTCCACTTTGGACGACATGATCATTACAAAAGATCGTGAAAGTAGTTGTATAAAATTAAAGTCATCCATCCAATTTCAGGGATGACTTCAGTTACTATCTTTTGTTCTACTAAGGAAAGTATGTTAAATGTTACAGACTTTTGTAAAAATAAGTCTAAAAGTATTTCATTTAATACGCTAAAAACATTTGAATATCAGTTATTCTTAGTTCTTGTCTAAATAATAGAACATACTATGCAATAAACGATTGTATTTTGAAGGTTTAGGGTCCAAACAGCAGATATTCGCTGCTACATAAAGACAAAAATGGAGACCGATAATGATGTTAGAAGAATCAAGCAACTGAACTTAAACTTTCGTTTTGATTACTCGCTTTGATTGATTATTAAGAACGATAATATGAGTAGAAAACTTTCGCAGTGGAAAAATAAGCCGTTAGATGTCTATGTTTTGGACTATTGAATCAAGATGGAATAAATGATTTTTAGATAATTATCAAAATGTTAGTTTCTAGCTCTAATATTTCATATCAGTGACATGTTTTCGTATTTTGATGGGATAGGGAGATTTAAACAACAAACGTTGCGCTTCGATATAATGCTACAGGCATTAAAATCAAATTCTAATCATAATAAAGAAAGAAATTAAAGATATATTGCATTGTTTTACGGATCGAAACGGCTTATCAATCTTATTTCAGAATTAGAAAGGATCATTCTATTACGTAGCCCATGAGAGTATCAGGTTCGTAGTATGGTGTTCATAGACGTTTGTTAGAGTAATCGAAAGGATTATCTTAACGGAGAATCTTTATATACAGGTACTAAAGATAGAATAAAATTGATGAATGATTTGCCTATCTGTAACAACAACTTAGAATGAGACTGATGAAAATGAATAAATCAATCATAATAGAAAGACGGATAGTATAAAGCGGATATTTTTTTAGGATGTAATGTTTCGGAATAGTAGTTGTAACTATTCTGCAACTGCCACGGTGTTTGTCTAATGCAACGCTCTAACTACGACATTGAAAAAAGACAAACTAATTGACAATACCTCATTCTATGTTTCTCCATTTCTTGACTAAGAAAGCTCAAGTTTTTATTTAGAAACATGTCTGAGATTTTAGATGTAGCATAAAAAATAATATGTCGTATTCTCTGGAGGGTCAGAATAAAAGTTGTTAGCATTGTCGTAAAATTTGAATTTTTAACATTAAGTCGTTCTTAGTTGCAAAATGAAATAACGTTTGCTATTTCAACAGACAAAATTAAGTTAATTTATGATAAATTTATATAACATATATCTGATCTGATATCAACTGATCGTCGAGTTATATATTTACTACATCAAGTTTCATTCCAAGAACAAAATTATTTTTATAAACAATTTGTTCAATGACATCAATACAAGAGATAGTCACTCACATGGTTAGTTTAAACTTTTGTCTCGCTACCTTGTATCGTATCAACAAGTAAGAATCATATGGTTTATCATCAAAAACAGTCTTCTTAGAACTTCATCTTGATGGTAGTACCTCTTCTCTAGCCGGTGCAACTCGATCAATCTCTAACTAAACATCAAGTTGGATCATATGTCCGATACAGCGGCTCAAACTCGCTTCTGCATCTCCAATGTAGATCAGATATCTGTAATAACACCAAAAAGATCCTTTCGTTCAAGAATTATCATCTATCAAAGCTGATGATAAAGTTTTTTTTGTTTCAGCAACAATATTCACAATAACAACGATAGAAATAAAAGGCGTTTCGAAGGTGAAACTGAGATTCAGATGAAAGAAGTTCGTATAAATTATTGGAACTTAAGAAATTCTTTTTTTTCAGAAGACACATAATTCATAACGACAAAAGTGTGTTCAAGCTTCGCCTTTTATTTTTCTCTCACATACGTTATGCTATACTTTTAAAAACATTTTATTTTCTTCAGGAAAAATCCTGATAGTTAACAGCTTGTAGTCTTCTCAGGCAGTTTTCTTTCATCTGAAGAAATAAAAGAAGAAAATAAGAATTATTTTGTATACTTTAAAGTAAGGAAACATAGTGAGGGTTTTTCCAGGTATAAAACATCATTGAAGCAAGTAGTTAGGTAATATTTTCTCGAAATATCTAAGATACAGCATAAGAAAGAAAAATGGTATTTCAAACTTTTAATAATAATTTTTTCATAATTTATTGAATATATAAAATGTTGATATAGCACGAACACATCACAATAAAGTTCAGAATGAAGATGAATGATTAGGTATATGAGACGAGCTAATGAACGGGTCTGACTATTATGCTAATAACCGTTGTATAGCGAGTTGTGAAATATATACTTTAACGTGTCAGATTTTCTATCTAATACTAAACAAGCTACTGATTACAACAAAAGTATCGAGATGGATGCCCTGCGGGGGTGGCAAATACCACAAATAGGCATCGCAGAGGTTTAGGAAGAACACAACACAAAAGCGTGACAACGCAAAACCAAACAACAACATTTCAAACAAAGAAACACTTCACTATTGCACCGTTGCTATTAAATGGAACAGGTATAACTGGTCGAATGCAACTGAACACATTTTTTATGAGCAATATGCCTGAAGGAAAAATAACATTCAAGCTAACAAAAACGGACCTTTTACTCTTTATCCGCTTGATGCTGATAGTTTTAATAAATTGCTAGCAATATTCTCGAAAGATCAATGTGCAAATTCGCAAAAGATAAAAATATTCTCCCTAAATCAATTGCAAAGATTCAGCAGATCGATAAAGAAGCTATAATAAAGCACGTTGATATTGAAATCACATAAGGGATTCATTAAAAAATGCAGGATTGTTTTATGGATAAGAAGCCGAGTGGTGCAAAATGTAGTGACGGCCACAGAATCATAGACTGTGATAAATCAGCAACAGTACAACCAGTCAGTTACAATTGTAAAGAACAACATTCAGCAACATCGGACAAATGCCCAAAATATACAGAAAATTAATTAAAAATTAAACAACATATTAGTAAATATTCGCTCAACAATTTGCATACACAACCACAAAAATATCCATCAATCATCATCAAAATGCCACAAAGATGATAACGAATATCCTCCATCAGGGGTAAACCAACAATATGGTTATTATCAAAATGAAATGAATGGCATGGATAAAATTGTTCAAATACTAGCTGAAACGATGGAAAAGCGATTTCAGCTGCTAGCTAAACAACCAGGGGGAAAAAAGCACCACTTCGCCACTTCAGTTTACTTCGCTTCACATGAAACTCACTCCAATTCTAGTGAAGTAAGCTTGCGACATTGTTATTTCATTGGGTTTTTCCGATTTTTTATGTCTAACAAGTCTATTTATTGCACCGCTCTCAGTTTTATTTACTACATGCATGTAAGGCGGATTGGCCGTAATTAATCCCTAGCCCTTAAACTTGCTTTCCCTTTCACGCTAAGCAAAAATTAAGACGGGTAAGACAATAGAGGCTCAGTCAAGTGATGAACAAAAGCAAACTAAAGAAACGTATATGCGAAAATCTTTCAATCCTTTTAATCTTCTTTACCAAACCAATGCATTCAGAAATATACAAAAACTAGTAGCCGATAATAACATAGTAATAAAAAGAAAGAGAAGGTCAAAACTGGTCAAAGAGATTGTAAGCAGTTTAAAAATGATCATCAAACTACCAGATCTGCAACAATTACACATCAATATTACTTCAGCCAAAAAGCATAACGACAACCTATATGCTCGATTTCAGAACTTTGTACCCTAAACCTTCAAAATACAATCGTTTAATAATACTTTTATCGTTTATTGTATAGTATGTTCTATTATTTAGACAAGAACTAAGAATAACTGATATTCAAATGTTTTTAGTGTATTAAATGAAATACTTTTAGACTTATTTTTACAAAAGTCTGTAACATTTAACATACGTTCCTTAGTAGAACAAAAGATAGTAACTGAAGTCATCCCTGAAATTGCCATGGATGACTATAATTTTATACAACTACAATAAAATAGAAATCACAGTACATATATTTATTTTACACACTATGTTGTAACATTTTACAAAATTCTTCAAAACTAATTTTGCCGTCAGCATCATCATCGACTTCACGCATTACTTCCGATATACGTTCTTCAGTAATATTAAGATTTAATTTTTTTAAAACACCACGTAATTCATTTGCTGTGATGAAACCTATAAAGAAAACTCTGATTAGGCAGTTATTCCATTCTTCTTCCAATTTCATACCTGAACCGTCGGTATCAAAACATTGAAATGCTCGTCTCATTTCTTCATTCGTAAATTGTCTCTCGTACACGTCGCCCATAACACGAACAAACTCATTGAATTCAATCACACCATTACCTACATCATGAAAAGATATAGAGTGGTTATCGAACTCAACAACTGTAATTTTGTATCTCTGCCTCTACCATCTGTATCTATCTGTTTCATGATTTTTCTTAGTAACTGCGCTGTTGGTTTATAATTTAGTGCAATTAAGACTTGTTTTAATTCATCTGAGCTTATTGTACCACTATGATCAGTATCAAATAAATTGAATGCATCACGAAGTTCTATAAGTTGAAAGAAACATATTTGCTACGAATATTAATATAACCGCATAACTTTGCATAAAATTACCGTCCATTTGGCGAGAAGTTAAACGTGATTTCTGCTAAAAGAAATGTCAAATATCATTCCTATAGAGAAGAGAAAATAAGGCCATCCTCATAGTTAAAGAAATACGAGATTACGGTGTTAACATGAAATCAGTTTTATGGTAACTATACTTTGACGAAATGTTAACCTTCAGGATTGTTTCAGTGATCATGTTCACTTGACTCAGGAGCATTCTTTTTTTTTCCTTATTTTTGTACAATTTTATCTCATACAGAGGTGTCCTCTCGTTTCGTCCCCAATTGGCTTTGTAAGATTAAACAACATCAGAAGTGAGTGATTAGGGACGAAACGAGACTACACTCATGCAGAATAGGTTAGATTACTGTTTGCAGTGATACATATTTCAAATAAGCATGTTACTGGGACACTACAACATCAAGACCGTCCTAAGTTTCGATGTCCTGAAACGATCGTTGTAACACTTGGTTGACGAGCTGCTAACACCTTTAGTTTAAGATTAAGTGCATGTAAGTAATTACTAATACTCTGTTTTTCTAGTTATACTTCACCAGTTAAGAATTCTGGCTAACTAATTCTTCTTTTTTAAAATATTCTTAAACAAGATTTCAATGGATAGTCCTTACTAAAAATATATTTTAGTTTTCTCGGTTTTGAAATGAATCGAATATATTTTCTGAAGAACTAAAATATCCACAAAACTAAGCATGTCGCCGCTGTCGATCAGACTGTTTCGCCGCAGTTATCTACTAATGAAATTTTGCCAATACCAGGACTACTTATGCGATACCTCAAATGAGCTTTTCAGAAACGATGAAGTTAAGAATTTGAATAAACTTACCGACATAATTTAAACCCTTGAGATACGGAAGAAAAGTAAAGAGAACGGTTGGCGTTTTTGAGAAAACTTTTTCAGTACTTGAAGAAAACTTTTTCCTTATATAGCATAGAAAATATGCTCTATTTTAAGAAGAAATAGTTAGTCTACACAGAACATAACTATACTAAACAGAAAAAAAATTAGAAAGAAATTATGACATCGACAGAAGGAAAAAAAGAAAAAATCAAGGTTAAGATAATAAAAAAGAAAAACGGATGAGTAAGCGTCAAACAAATTTTCCCTTCTTACATTATTGAACTATTCTACGTTTTTTATTGAAAAGAACTTTATGTACGAGCGTTTATTATAAATCAAGAGATCTTTCTTTTTTCATGATAACTCATGAAGAACAGAGAAGAGAAATATATAAACATGTCTCATTTGCGTAATTACAAGCAAGCAGACGTCTTCTTGAATTACTGTTGGTTTGAAATGATGGTTTTCTGCATAATGCACATGCATTAGTGGACTAGAAGCAATATGCTCTATTTACCGAGTGACATCTATCGACATTTTCAAAAATGGGATCAAAATACAAAACGTTGAATGTCAACGGCGTTATCAACCGAGAGGGACAAGCCACTAACTGTAGCGCCATTCTTGTGACTACAGTCAATGGTTTGACTAGCAACCCTGAATGTCAACCAACATACAATTCTCATTTTCTACACAGTGCTTTTGTTAGCCATACTATAGCAAGTAAAACATGTTTTTGTTAACAAAATGAAGGCGAGAGCTACATATCTTGAAAAGGAAACGTACAGACTATATTTTGTTTTCATTACTAAGGCGCAAACAATGCAAGCTCACTATCCTCAGTAACTACTTTAAAATTGGATGTGTTTCTAAAACTTCAAAAATCTAATTCTGTAGCAATAAATTATGAAAATTAGCTGATGGTTTCAACTATCGAGTGGTAGTGTCCACATCGGACATAATTTTTCTCCGATGGTCATGTTCAAGGACAAAAACGCCAAGCAAGCAACAAGTATCTAGCTCACAACATTGATTTAAATTCTGATGATATAAATGTCAATGTTGTCAACACTTCAATGGCTAATATAACTGATGAGATTGATATTTCCTTTCAACAACAGAGGGGAAAACATCACAATAAAGCGACGAAATCATCTGAAGGAAATATATCAACAATACCAACAAACACTCATGTGCATTCATACTTTCTTTCTGGAAATAATCAGAAAAAGTCTAAAAATTCATGAAACTGTTACAATTTCAACTACAATCAAAAACCTACCAGTCGTCCAGATAATGAATGTACAAAACAGAACAATCAAAAGCAACAATATCAACAGTCATCAACATTCATTTTGCCGCCAGTAAAAGTATCATTTGCAGATGATCAAATGCCATCAGAAATCAAAATGCTAAATAAAATTGTGAAATTAAATTCTTCGTTAAATGTTTCACTGCAAGCTATTCATATTCAGACGAACATAAAAATCAGCTATTAATTTTCGCTAACAGCTCTTCCACATTCGAACAACTGTGTAATAGGAAAAAATGACCACAACAACTAAATGGTCTAAGATATGATTTATCAACACCAAAAAAGATTCCGGCATGTTATTCTGTCATAATTAAAAATATACATTAACAACATGTGCTCTGCAGGTAAAATGTTTCAGATATGGACAGCAACATGCCTACAACAAAAATTGTCAAAATGCAACATGCTATACACATTGCCAAGGTGGTGCTTATTTGTTCAATTTTGGTGGTGCGCCAATGAATTTCATCCTTCGAGTGATTATAATTGATTTTCAAATGATAAGGATGATATAGTATATTATTTAAACAGTTGGCATCAGCGGTAAAAATGTCGTGATATTCTAAATGAATGATTCGCTGAAGTCACATTAATATCAGTGATCGACAAGAGAAACATACATACGAGACGTTTTGTCCTTCACACGGATGTTCATTTTAGTATTTTATTACTTAATATCTGTTGTCTTGTCTCGTATTTCGTCGATTTTATAGTTATTTAACAATTCATTCACCGACATTATTTGTACAGTAATGATCATACAAATTATTAGTTACCACATCAGCTAAAATCGAACTATGTTATATATTATCAAAAGCGCGCGAACGATTTTGATGGCGTAGCGTTAGGATAGATATTCCACATCGTATCGTTGAAAAATGTTCCGATATTGCTAATTTATTGACATTTATCATAATAAGAAAATAACCTCAATAGCTCCACGTTAGAACCGATACAGATGAATCTATTTAACGAGTTATACAAACATAATAAAAATTTAATACTGTTCAGAGATTTGAATGCACGCAGCCATCTGTGAAACGATGTTAAGAGAAATACAAAAGATAAGAAAGTAGCAGAATGGCTCGACGGACATGATAATCTAAATCACACAAGACAAGACGAAATGCTTTTAACACTTTTTTCGATACAAAATGAAAAAACTCAGCGAGAGAGAATACATCTGCCGATGAGTATGAATCTGGTTTTAGAAACAAACAAAAATTATTTTTTGAATGAGAAAACTCAATTTTACAGTTTTTGTTTATGAATGTCTTTTGAAACTGATACCCTTTCTGAAATTCAATTTTAATCAAAGTTAATTTACGTAGCCAGTTGAATGCATAAATTTCACCGTCGATGATTAGTATTTGAGTCAGACTATTGAAATATGAAATGATTTTATTATAAAGACTAATAAATGAATACGGCTCGTATCAAGGCACCACCAAAAAATGATATAATTCCGTAACAGTCGATATTTTGTTCACTCTACTTTATTTCAGAAATTAAAATCAAAACCACCTAACCCACAATGTTTAAACTATAGCAGCGTCAGTCTCATAATAGCCTCAGAAAATACTCGCTGCCTCAGTCGGTGATCTGTAGAAGAATGCAACGAGCATTGCCTCGCTGGTCCACTGGTCATGGATTTAGATTTTGAAAAAAAGAATTGTTGATTTGATACTACATTAAGAGTTTAGATAATAAGCGTAAAAAAGTTATTAAACATATGTCTGTTTTTGGAATATTATGAACATCGTTCAACGAAAGTCAGTCTTCTATGTAACATTCTTATTGCAGCTTTTCTGTTCTGAGTATGACGTCATGTTATCGTACTCTAAATTTATTTACTCTTGATTTACGCACAGAGAAAACAGGTTTTGAGTTTTAATAACTTCTTGGAATAGCAGCAGAGAATAAATAAGTAAAAGTTGAGTGTAAAACTGCTACAAAATACATTTTGAATTCAAACTAAATTCACTTGTTATCTGGTTTATTTTCGAGCTTTCGGTATGCACTCATACCATCGTCAGGAAAACATACAATAATAGAAGAAAACATACATATGACAAGAAGAAAAATCTTGACTATATATATATATACAGAATAGTAACGTTTCAAGATCATACCGAAAGCTCGAAAATAAACGAAATAACAAGTGACTTTAGTTTGAATTCAAAATGAATTCAAAATGTATTTTGTAGCAGTTTTATACTCAATTTTTACTTATAGGTTTTTGGTTTGTTCAAGAGATACAAGGGGCAATGGAGCGGCGAAAAGCATCCCATTGCATAGAATGAGGAACTAGAATCCTCATGTATTCACTTCTGAACAATTTAGTTTAAAAGGACATACGGTTGTCTCACAGATCTAATTTTACGAGTTCTATTATTAATTATTTCTATGCAAAAGATAACAATAATGTTCAACATGATATGTTGCGATTAATATATAGTGGAGTATTCATTCAATCATTTTTGTAATGTGCAGGAACAACGTATCTTCTATTTCATGTTCAATGAAACTAGTCTGTTAGTTTTATTTCTCAAAAAAGTTTTTGTTATTAATTGGTTGGACATTAATTAATTATTAATTAACGATAAGTAAAATGTAATCATTTCAACTTTACATCAGGAATTTTCACTAAAATGGGATCAGGGTGCTGTTAATCAGACACATAAAAATTATCCTTGATATTGTTTGTTTGTTTGTTTTAATTGTAATCATCACATCTAAACCAATTATATTTAACATTACCATAACTATTCTTTTTACCTTCTCTTTGGCATGTATGACATTCCGACGCAGCCACATCACTCTGCTATCAGAAAGAAATTACATTAAAGAACTTTGACACTTTGTACTTCTTATAGTCTTTCATGAAAAGAATGGTTGGACAAACGTTTCTGAATCAAGTAAGATGTCTCCACGTTCTATACAGTCTTACAGATAAAAAATACAAAGAAAATACTAAACACCATTTTGTAACTTTAACCGACATTTCTAATTCTACAAGGTGTTATCTAGTGTCTTCTTTGTATCTTTTATCTGAAAGACTGTATAGAATCTGAAAACATCTTACTTGATTCAGAAAAGTTTGTCCGGCCATTCTTTCCTTAAAAAATTATAATGAGAGACCTAAGTAACGATCAATCTTAGTGTAATTCTGTAAGGAAAATATAATATTTGTCAGTTTTCTCGAAAGTAATGTTTTTTGAATAAAAAAAGTTAATAGATGCATAGATTTTATCACGAGCTATCGAATGGGATTTTTTATTTTTATTTTTTAGTTGAGTTTTGAGCAAAATATTGCCGAAATATTCCGTTACGAAACTTCAAAATATAGATGAGAAAAAACCATAAAATTCATTTGATTTGCGAGCTTTCGGTCTATCTAAAGTTTTTATTGAAAACTCATCACTTTAGAGAAAACTGACTAATATATTATATTTTCCTTACAGAACTACACTAACATTGATCGTTGCTTACTCTCGTTATAGTGAAAGTTACAGAGTACCCTAGTTCCATATTCTGAATGAGCAACTTTAAATCTATCGATTTATATCAAACTCATTTTTTTTTCTTTATTTTTCAATGAATAATGAATAAAACAAAGGTCAATGTAAATTTCAGTATTTTGTTGATGATTTGAGTGACTATCAGATCAAACTAC